TAAACTGAGTTACGCCTGTTTTAAACTGAAGTCGGCCGCCCTGCGTCTGGACGGGCTCCACCTGTCGCACGCTGCCACGGCCCGCTGGACCACTGGAGCGCAGTGGGCCAGAAGACCGGTGGAGGCGGTCGAAATTCTCAACGCGTTTTGAGCTCCAGAGTCGCCAAGCAGGACCCGAACCGAACGTGTGACCCCACCAATGGATCGCTATCCGAACGAGGAATCCATTGGTGGGGACACACGTTCGGCTAGAGTCCTGTTTAGCGTTTCTGGAGCTCAAAATGATTTCAGAATTTTGGCCGCCTGCACCGGTCTCCCAGTCCACCATGTCATGTGCCAGTGGCGCACCCCAAAGAGGAGGCACAGGTGCCAACTCTTTTGACATTTTTGTAATTTTATTTTGGCCAAAAAATACCTGTGTAGTAAAAAGTGGTTTTTTCCCCCGTTTGCAAGGTTGGCCGGATGTTGGTAGGGACGATGCGGAAGGCCGGTGACACTCACCCGCCCCACTTCAGCCTGTTTACGTCTGCGGGTGGCTGCGGGTCAGTCGGGGCAGTTTACAAACTCGCCGCATAAAAACGCTATAAAAGCGCGCTAAACGCATATATTGTAATGTACGGGGCCAGGGCTGTCCGGGGCCCGGGGGCGGCCGGGGCCCACGGTGGCGGTGGCCCCCTCCTTTTACGCGCGTCCCAGTTTTTACACGTTCGAGGTTTTACAGCGCCGCGGACACGCCGATCGTCGCCCCGGCTCATCTGCATATGCAGCGCACCCACACCATCAAATCTAGCAATTTCGGACGGACAGGCTGACTGACGGACAGACGGACGGACATGCGGACAGACGGACAGACAGACGAACAGACGGACGGACGGACAGACACACACACACACAGAGAGAGAGAGAGAGAGAGAGAGAGAGAGAGAGAGAGACCGAGACCTGACTGGCTGGACTGGCCCAACGGACCGACAAATGGAAAAACCGACTTGACAATTCGGTTGATAATTTTTTTTACCCTTTTTGGAACCACGTCTATCAAAGAGTCGCGGCAAAGTAAATGGTCGTCAGGTGACCCCTCTTTCGGGGAAAACGTCAGCGAAACAGAAATGAGCGAAGCAACGTAAACAAAACAAAAAAAAAACAGTCAAATAATATTGTCGGGTGCGGTGACGTGACTGACGTGACATGTCGACAGATGACTGTATTCTTTTTTTTCGCAACGGGCCCTTAGGACTGTCAGGGAGTACAGGGGAAAAGGGGAAAGGGGGGGGGGAGTCCCAAGGGCGGTTCGGTCCGGGACAGCCTATGCTTGACTGACATACAGGCAATTGAACCACCGAAAACGGGCGGAGGGTGCGTCCGAGTGCGTACGCCACTGTGTGTGGTGTGTGTGTGTGTGTGTGTGTGTGTGTGTGCGTGGCCCTCCTGCGGAGCTCCGCCAGCGTTCGGGCTGTCCGAACAAAGACCACAAAGGTGCCGCCTTGCTCCACATCTTTGGCGATGGACGGGGCCTCTCTCTCTCTCTCTCTCTCTCTCTCTCTCTCTCTCTCTCTCTCTCTCTCTCTCTCGGCCTGACATGAAGGGAGTGGAAGCGGCTAAGGGAGAGGGTGCCCGGGGTCGACGGTGGGGTGGCGTCTGTGGAGGGGGTAAGGGTTGCGTAAGGGAAAATTGAAGTAGAATTACAGATTCGTTACGACCACCTGCTTCCCGCCACTGCGGTGAGGGGTGGGGCGTCCTAGGGTTGGCCGCGAGGGCGTATCGCCGTGTGTGTGTGTGTGTGTGTGTGTGTGTGTGTGTGTGTGGGTGTACACGCTTCTGTGCCTGACGTGAAACAGTGAATCACAGCACGGTATTTCCTGGTAGAGATGAGACGTGCACGTCCAGTGGGTACCTTCACTGGGAAAGGGCAGCACACACACACGCACACACACACACTCACAGGCCGGCAGCCCCACGGCGACCCCAGGGCCCTGCCGGTCCTTCTCGGTGCTTTGCGCATTACCTGAGGCCCCTGCCTCGGCCTGCGGGCCTGCGGCATGTGGGCTGAATTGCAGGACCCACCCCGGCAGGGCCTGGGCACGGGGCACGGCCAGCGCGGCTGGCCCTCCTCTGGGCCGCGTCCACAAGCATGGACCTCATTACCTGCAGGGGGCGGTGGGCGGTCTCTGTCGCTCCCTTGCGAGCCCCGCCGCGAGTGCGACAGAGACAGAGCGCGTTTTTCAAGCGCACTCGCCGCGCCAGTGGGCCAGAAGACCGGTGCAGGCGGCCAAAACTCCAGACGCGTGTTGAGCTCCAGAGACGCTGAATAAGACTCGAACCGAACGTGTGACCCCACCAATGGATTGCTCGTTCGGAGAGCAATCCATTGGTGGGGTCACACGTTCGGTTCGAGTCCTGTTTAGCGACTCTGGAGCTCAAAACGCGTCAAGAATTTCAGCCGCCTGCGCCGTTCCTCTAGCCCACTGTGCGCGTATACAAGTGAGTGAGCAAGGAGCCAGGTCGAAGGCTGCAGACTGAGAGTCGCCTTCGTCGCTCTGTCTCTCTCGCACCCTCCGGGCACGCCCCACGAGTGCGAGAGAGACAGAGCGACGCGCATTCATCGGACGCAAATGAAGAAACAGTCTCCTTTCTCTTGGTCCCTGCAGGGCCTGCAGGGGGCGGCCTGGAGGACCCATTCAGGTCGTTGATAAAATCAGCTTGGCGTCGCTGTCCTCTGAGGCAGGCTGGGCCGGGCTCGGCCCATTCGCTAATTAGTAGCAGGTTCGTTCCGAACTCTCTGTCTCTCTCGCTCTCGCGCGGCCGCGCCTCGTGGGTGCGAGAGAGACGGACGGTGGTCTCACTCGGAGACAGCCTTCGAGTCTTCGGACACCCCTTCGTGAAGTCCAAGAAGCGCGTGGCACGGTGGAGGGACGCGCAAGGCGCGCAACGCATTCCGACTTTCAAACAGCCCCAAAAGTCACCGCCCTCTTCGTCACTCCTGCGCGTGCCTTGATGAAGCACGGCACTGCCTTCCAATTTGCAGCGGACGCCTGTCGCTTCTTCAAATAAAATGTCTCATTCACTGAGCTATCTGGTAAATACGGCCCCCTGCGAAAACTGGTGTGCCGAATCTGAATAACGCGGAGATTAGGCTGCACGACGGGCTCTGCGAAAGCAATAATCTGATACTGACTCTATCGTTGGCTTAAAAAAAAGGGAGGAAAACTGCAGCCTTTTTCGGGATTCGAACCCGCGAAACTCGGTCACGAGTTCGCCGCCCTAACCACGCGGCCACGGCGCCACCTGACGCGACGGGAATGCAGTGGTGTGTCCGACCGGGGTGCTCCCCTTTCTTCGACAAGGCGCCTCTCGATTTCTTCCCCCTCATAAAGTTTATCACTGCAGCGACGCTGTCTGGCACACTGCGAGCACTGTGTTAGCGCCGCGCGAGCACTGCGGCGTCGCGGCGAGCATTCTGGGCCAGCGTTCGGCGCACAGTGGATTTTCCAGAAGACCGGTGGAGGCGGTCAGAGTCCCGGACGCGCTTTGAGCTCCAGAATAGGTAAACAGGACGGGAACCGAACGTGTGACCCCGCCAATGGATGGCTCTCCGAACGAGGAATCCGTTGGTGGGGCCACACGTTTGAGCTCTGGCCGCATGCGCCGGTCTTCTGGCCTAATGTGCGGCGCAGACAGTCGTCAAAACCACGCTGAAAAGAAAATGTGACAAAAATAAAAATACCTTCACTTTAAAAGAATTCTTTTTTGTGATTTTTTTTTACCCCTCTCGTAATATTCCGCGCCTCGTTTTCGGTTGTCCTCCGCTAATTGTTTTCTCGGTATCAACTGCTCGCAGGGCTCAGGGCCGCCATGATCCTCCACTGCAATAAACCAGGATTATTCCCTTATCGAGGAAGTCCGTTACTAATTAGCGAAAGCCTTTGCGACCCCTCGAGCACAGTGGGCCGGAAGACCGGTGGAGGCGGCCAAAAATCCAGACGCGTTTTGAGCTCCAGAGTCGCTAAATGGGACTCGAACCGGACGTGTGGCCCCACCAATGGATTGCTCTCCGAACGACGAATCCATTGGTGGGGTCACACGTTCGGTTCGAGTCCTGCTTACCGACTCTTGAGCTCAAGACCCGTCAACAATTTTGGCCGCCTCGCCCGGTATTCTGGTCCACTGTGCGACACGCGGCGTGCCCAAACGGATCCAAAACACGCTTTCATCATTTCAAAATTTCATTGTTATTTCTTATTTCCTGTTTGAATCTTTCATAGAATGTTTTCTCGGTGCGCAGAAACAGCGCGGCACACTGGCTGACGCCTGTCGGGAATCAACCTGCGCCGCGCAACCGTGGAACGGCACACTGTCTGTCTCTCTCGCACCCATGCGGGACTCGCCGTGAGTGCGAGAGAGACAGAGCGACGAAATCGGTGTGCCGGTCGAACCGTCCCCCGCGAGGTCAGCTCAGTTTGTCTCCGCGAGTCAAGTTCGAACGTCGCGCATTATTCATGGCCTTGGTTTCCCGGCAGATTGGCTTTCGAACCAACACACTGGACGGAAAACGCGCACGTCTGTTGTTGTTGTTGTTGTTGTTTGGTTCCCGCGTGATCGGCCACGGCCGACTCTCCGGCTTCCAGGATATGCAGCCCTGCAAACCATTCCTGTAAATCAAAACAAAGTTTGGTTTTGTTGACTACGGTTTATTTTTGGGAAAACAGCGTGCCGCTGCACCGTAAGCGAGCAGAACGGTGGAGTCGGCCAAAACTCAAGTCGTGTTTTGAGCCCCAGAGTCGCTAAATGGGGCTCGAATCGAAGGTGTGACCCCACCAATGGATTGCTCTCCGAACGGGGGATCCATTGGTGGGGTCACACGTTCGGTTCGAGTCCTTTTTAGCGACTCTGGTCAAAACGCGTCTAGAGTTTTGGCCGTCTGCGACGGTCTTCTGGCAGATCCACTGTGCGCTGAACTGAAAGTCAGTGACTGACGCAGTGCTCTCTCTCTCTCTCTGTTGCAGTGCTGGCGCTCAAGGACATGCACATGCGCCTGCCCGTGGCCGCCCAGGCGGGCCAGGCCGTGGCGCTGTCCTGCCAGTACGACCTGGAGGGCTCGCAGCTCTACTCCATCAAGTGGTACCGCGACGACGCCGAGTTCTACAGCTTCGTGCCCAAGGAGCAGCCCGCCACGCGGCTGTACCCGGACCAGGGCATCGCCGTGGACGTGAGTACTCACAGTGGATTTGCCAGAAGACCGGTGGAGGCGGTCCAAGACGCGTGCAGAGCTCCAGAGTCGCTATGGGCTCGAACCGAACGTGTGACCCCATCAATGGATTGCTCTACGGACGAGGAATCCATTGGTGGGGTCCACGTTCGGTTCGAGTCCTGTGCGTCTCTCACGGGGCGTCCGGCGCAAGTGCGAGAGAGAGAGAGAGAGAGAGAAGAGAGAGAGAGAGAGAGAGAGAGAGAGAGAGAGAGAGAGAGAGAGAGAGACTCTGAGGCTGCAGTCCCGACGAAAACACGGCGGCCATTGTGCTGCCGGGACGACGGGCTGCGCTTCCGGACTGTATCCTGCCAAGGACACCTTCCGCCCCGAGTGCCTGCCTGCCTGCCGCGGCAGCGAGAGGGACAGATTCCGAAAGTCATCATCGTCGCTCTGTCTCTCTCGCACCCACAGGGAGCGCCCCGTGAGTGCGAGAGAGACGTAGCGGCGAAGGCGACTCTCGGCATCGGTCTGCGAAGCGAGGAGCGAGGATCAGAAGGCCAAGACTGACCCGCAAAGTCGGTGGGGCCGTCGGGCCCGCGCTACACGGCCCTACACTACAATGGCCCCTTGTAACACGGCGGGGTGGGGGGTGGGGAGGGGGGCAGCCCCGGGGGCGTTGTCGGGAACGCGGCACGCAGTGTCGCTCTGTCGCTCTCGCACTCGCGGCGCGTCGGGGGTGCGACGGAGACGGCGAGTCCGCACGTGCGGATAGAATTAGCGGCGAGCGTAGACAAGGCGGAAGTAAACACCGCAGCCGCGGATCAGACGCGGTATTATCTTAATTAACATCTCATTGCGCGAAGGAGGCCCGTCCCACAGTGGGCCAGAAGAGCGGTGGAGGCGGCCGAAACTCTAGACGCGTTTTGAGCTCCAGAGTCGCTGGATGGGACTCGAACCGAACGTGTGACCCCACCAATGGATTGCTCTCCGAACGAGGAATCCATTGGTGGGGTCACACGTTGGGTTCGAGTCCCATTTAGCGACGCGTCTAGAGGTTCGGCTGCCTCAACTGGCCCGCTGGCCCACTGTGCATCGACTCGACGGGCCCTCCAGCAGCCTAGCAAGCCGACCGACTCTTCGCTGTTTCGCCATTGATAACCGAGTTCTAAACGTTTGGCTGAATTTCGGCTGATTATGGCGGACAATCGACGCACAGTCCAACGATGAATTTCTGGTCACTTTTCTTCCCGGTACACTCTTCCATCCTCTCGACCTCGTTTCCCTTCTGTCTCTCTCCTCCCTCCATCTTCCATCTTGAGCGACCGGTGGTGGTGAGTGTGTGTGTGTGTGCGTGTGTGTGTGTGCCCCCCCCTCCCCCCGCGATCGGCTCGTGTTTAACTGGGGCAATGAGCGACGGAGCGACGAGACGGACTGTTTACCCGCCAGTCTCACGCGTGCACGCCCCGGGCGCACTTGTGTGTGTGTGTGTGTGTGTGTTTGTGTGTGTGTGTGTGTGTGTGTGTGTGTGTGTTTGTGTGTGTGTGTGTGTGTTTGTGTGTGTGTGTGTGTTTGTGTGTGTGTGTGTGTGTTTGTGTGTGTTTGTGTGTGTGTGTTTGTGTGTGTGTGTGTGTGTGTGTGTGTGTGTGTGGTATTTGTGTGCAGCCTGCATCAAAAACGCCCTATCCCGTTGGTTCTCCTCCAGCTGGCTGCGACGACGCCCATTTCCATGTGTGGGAGTGGAATTGCCCCGCGGTTTCCCCCCCCCCCCCCCCCCCCCCCCCGCACTCGCCTCCAGTTGTTGAGGTGTTCAATAAATTATTCAGCGAGTCAGCGCGTACCGTGTTACAGTGTAACAAGGTGGCGCCGCTTCCTGCACCAGAGCGGCCTCTCTGCCGATCGAACGCGAAGGCCTCCGCCGCGGCCTCCACCGCCTCGGCCAGCATTATCAGGTCTAAGCAGCCTGCCCGTCTGCCGCCGCCGATCCGGCCCCAAGGACGGACGAGACCACTTCATCGTCGGCAGGCCGCACAGTGGGCCAGCGGACCGGCGGAGGCGGCCAAAACTCCCGAACGCGTTTTGAGCTCCAGAGTCGCTAAGTGGGCCTCGAACCGACCGTGTGACCCCACCAATGGATTGCTCTCCGAACGAGGAATCCATTGGTGGGGTCACTTGCTCGGTTCGAGGCCCATTTAGCGACTGTGGAGCTCAAAACGCGTTTGGAGTTTTTTTTTGGCGCTGGCTCTGGGTCGCTCTGTCTCCCTCGCACTTATTGGGTGGACCGCAGGGGTGCGAGGGAGACAGAGCAACGGGAGCTCTGGCTGAAGCCCCACTGCCTCGTCCTGCAGTGATGCAGAGGGAGCGGACATTTCGGCAAACAGGCGCGGCTCGGCGCGGCACGGCACGGCACGGCACGGCACGGCACGGCTTGGCACTGTGGCGACAAGCAGCAGCTAGAAGTCCCTGTGCGGATGATTGATAAGTGGGGACGCTAATGTGACCGTCACGTGACGCGGTCGCAACACGGCGGCGGCGTTTGTGACGTTAATGTGACGAGGCGTCAGTTTCCTGGTTCGCCATCAAATATTTGGATTTTTAATTTTTTTAATTCCTTTTGTACATTTTTTTTAACAAAAGCAAAATTTCTAAAAGATTCATTAAACAGCGCGCTTTGGTAAAACTCGAAAAAAAATTTTGTCGTGTGAAGAAAAAAAATATTCTAAAGGTACTGTTGAAATGAAGTGGAGTGTCAGTACTCATTAACAAGACATGGGACACCCTGGTGAGTTCGCCTTTTTGCAAATTTCATTTTCACTGTGTAGGTGCGGCTTTGCGTCGGCGTATTGCAAAGACCTGTGCGAGTGGTAGAGGGCGAGGGCTTGCATTGGAGCAGTGGCGCGGTGGGGGGCAAGATCTGGCCCAGTGTGGTGGCGTACAGTGGCGCGGCGGCTCGGCGCTGAGGAAAGGATAGGAGAGAAAATGGAATTTCACGCATTGGTGCATTCCCAAGGCCGGCCGCGACATTTCTCCTGGGCACGAAGTTCCCCCCCTCCCCTCCCCCACAACATCTCTTTTACCCCCCGCCCCCTTCCCTGTGGTTTGTGGCCCGCACCGCCTGTTCGCAACAGCGCCCCCCCCCCTCCACATCTTTCTGTTTCGTGGTCATTTATCACTTTGTTCTGCTTACCAAGCCAACGAGCAGTGTCACTATAATTTGCACAAGGACTTCCAACAAAAGAATAACTCCAATAAGTCACGCCTAACCCATTTTTCTATTATTTCGCCGTGCCTCAAGGAGCGCCGCGGATTTCAAGGAATTTTCTCGGAATTGTGACATCTTGGGGCGGACTCCCCGCCCCGCCCCGCCCCGCCCAGCCCCGCCCCGCCCCGCCCCGCCCCGCCCCACCCCGCTTTGCCTTGCTCCCGGGGGAACAATCTCGGTTATGCAAATCGAGTCCCGGAAATTCGAAGATGCGCGCGGGTTCCTAAAAATGAATCCGGGCAGTGCTGCCAACATCCAAGCTGCCAGTAGCCAACTTGACGTCCAAGAAAAAAGGAAGCCGACACTGTAGGGCGTTGTGCCGCCGTCTTACAGTGGGCCAGAAGACCGATGGAGGCAGTCAAAATCCCAGACCCGTTTTTAACTCCAGAGTCGTGAAAAGACACTCGAACTGAGCGTGTGACCCCACCAATGGATTGCTCTCCGAACGAGGAATCCATTGGTGGGGTCACACGTTCGGTTCGAGCCCTCTTTAGTGACTCTGGAGCTCAAAACGCGTCTCGAGTTTCGGCCGCCTCCACCGGCCTTCTGGCCCACTGTGCGGCGGTCCAGTCATGCCAAAGAAACGCCGCCCGGACACACCTCCCCTATTTACTCGGATCCTACTGCGGCCGGGCGGCGGGGGAGGGGGAATTGCAATCCGTGTTTCGGTCCGATCCGCACACACATTGCCATTCGGGGCTAGCAGACGGAATCGCCTCTCGCCACTTCACCATGCGATGTGTATATTACGACGAGAGAGAGAGAGAGGGCGGGAGAGTGAGAGAGAGAGAGAGAGAGAGAGAGAGAGAGAGAGAGAGAGAGAGAGAGAGAGAGAGAGAGAGAGAGCCTGGTGGGTAGGCATCGCGAAGGGCTGGCCTGCCCTCCAGGCGGACTGAGCGCAGCGCAGTGCGCCCTGCCGTCCGTTTGGGGAAGCTGCTTATTGCATGCCTCCGGGAAAGCGTCCGGGACGAGTCCAGGACTCCCAAATGAGAGCGGCGAGTGCTTGACGCCGTGCCCTGCGCGCCCCCGCGACCAGCAATGAGAAAATGGACAAACTAGCGCACACAATGAGGGCTAAATTGTTTTTCGCTGAATTCGGTGGGGGAAATGACGGAGGTGGGCGACGGTCGTTTGCGCGGCCCTTTGTCACTGCAAGGACAATTTCAAACGGGACTCTGAACAAGTCCCGGCGAGTGGACTTCCTCTGCACAGTGGGCCGGCGGACCGGCGGAGGCGGCCAAAACTCCAGACGCGTTTTGATCTCCAGAGTCGCTCAACAGGACCCGAACCAAGCGTGTGACCCCACCAATGGATTCCCCGTTCGGAGAGCAATCCATTGGTGGGGTCAGACGGTTGGTTCGAGCCCTATTTAGCGACTCTGGAGCTCGAACGAAACGCGTCCGGGATTTTGGCTGGCTCCACCGGTCTTCTGGTCCACTGTCATCTGTTCCCAATTTTCCGACGCGGTCTCGGAACTAACCTCGCCGCCGCACCTGGGACTGGACGGGACGGCCCCGCCCCGAGGGGCAGTGGCGGCAGTGGTGCGTCGGCAGAGCGAAGAGGGTCGACCTGAAGGACCTCCCCGCCCGGCCCGGCGTAGCCTGGTAGGCAACAGGTTGGGTGAGTTTGTAATGGCTGCCGAGGATGGCAGGACAGCGGACTGATTCCGAAGAGTCACTTCATCGCTCTGCCTCACTCTCGGGGCGGCTCCTGCGGGTGCGAGAGAGACAGAGCGACGCTTTCGGAATCACCCGGCAGA